TTTATAGTGAAGTGAAAATGTGAAATCTGCCAGGAGTCGAGTGTTTAGTCCACTCTTCGTCTCGAATGTAAGATCTCCACTATTGCATGTCAAATATTTGAGTTATTTGCAACATTTCCTTTTGATCAGCAATAAGTGTTATTTTTGTACATCAATGGAAAGCAGTAACAAAAACTATTTGCTCGAAAGAAATGGTATGTGTTTTTTAGATCAGTGAAATTAGGTCCATGAATTTGGTGTCAATGGCACCTGGTATCGAGATCTGCAAGGTATGTGATGACAACTTTATAGTCAAAGCGAAGGCCATCAGCTGCAGTATTTTTGTCGCCAAATACCACACGTCCTGCGTTGTTGTCAAGGATAGTTGGCTGAGAATAATTGCTGAATGCGAAAACCTTCTTTGGCTCTGCGATGATTGTCTTTGCTGAATTTAACTAAAAAGCTAGTATCTGAGTTGGAGTACAGTAATGGGTTACAAAAAGAGGTGCTGAAATCCCATGGCAGCAAAATGGGGACATTTGAGTCTGCTGATTTGCTTCGTCCTAGGCCTGAGGCGAGCAGGTTGTTGATTCCAAAGATATTCTGCAAGAAGTCACTTCTTCTGTCAAACCTGGTGACCTGAATGTTTGTGTAAATGGTACGAAACTGATCAAAAATGGAGTTGCTGTTCATTGCAAAGACGATGAATTCCCTAGCTGCCCTCAAAACTGGTTTGAGCGGTAAATTGGGTTCCAAATATTCCTTTTCTGAAGCTAAAAAGCTCAATCCACGGATGTAAATTAAGAACGTAAACCTGAATGGAATCAACACCCTGAGGATATCTTGGATAGCATCGTTTCCCTTGAACAGTTCTCTAAATATTCCTAAACAAGATATTAAATACGTAACCAAGCTGAAGCATTTCAACAGCGTTAATGTCGTCGTTGACGTGACACCAGCCCTTCGTAAATCGTTTCTTCAGGAGGGGTACTTGTTCATTGGGTGGAAGAAGTCAGAAGTCTGTGATCACCTACGTGTTATGAAGTGTTACAAGTGCTGTGCATTTGGCCATATTAGTAGTAATTGCAAATCTGATTTAGTGTGTTGTCAGTGTACGGGAAGTCATAATATACTAAGTGACATATAAATCCGAACACCCAGTTTAAATGGTTTTATTTTAATAAAAGTTGGTGAATGTATTTATCTTACTGTAAGTAACAAGTGAAAAAATGTTCAGCCTTATCAGTTGGAACATTCCGGTTTTTATACTGCTTTTTTTTAATTTACTAACGCTCTAAAAATGAATATTTCAGCCGCAGTAAAGAATCAACGTTGGCGGATTTGGTTCTTGACATCCTTTACGAGGTCACCTTTAATCTTCATCAAGAGGTAACATGAACGCGCAGCGTTATATCCACGAAGTTCTAGAAAACCATCTTTTTACCCTATCTTGACACCCTGGCAGATCAACTTTCCAACAAGATAATGCCCGACCACATGTTGCAAGAGTCACAATAGACTTCTTTCAACAAAATGATGTCACATTGTTACCATGGCCACCAAGATCTCCCGACTTATCCCCAATTGAGCACGTGTGTGATATGATGGGTAGGAGATTGCTCAATTTGCACGTCCTCCTCAGACTCTAGAAGCACTTCCAGAGGAGTTGGTGGTTGCCTGGAATGAGATACCACAGGAGGACATTGACCACCTGATCAGAAGCATGCCTAGGCGCGTTGGAGAATGCGTAGCACATCAGGGGGCATCCACACATTATTAAAGGTCAAAGGGCTTTAAAAGCAGTGCAATCATTTTGAAATTTTTATCATTTACTTATTATGCTTCATTAAGTACTTATACAAAATTTTATTAAAATAAAACCATTTAAAATGGGTGTTCGGATTTATATGTCACTTAGTATATGATTCAATATGACTAATAGTAATAAGGGATTAATGAATGTATGTCATTTAAACGTTCGCTTCTTGCTGCCTTCTTTAGATGATTTTTTTGCATTAACGCGTGATAAATATGATATTATTGCTATTAGTGAATCATGGTTAAACGATTGCATTGATGATGGTGCAGTATCAATGAATGGCTACAGTTTATTCCGGAAAGATCGTGGAGTTAGGGGTGGAGGTGTTGCTTTGTATGCTAGGTCATATCTCAATTGTAGTTTAGTAGAAACGAACCCTATCGACTCGGGTGCCGATGGAAATACTTTGTTGTCAATTCACTATATCTATACCACAACTATTTCAAACTGTAATGACTCATACGCGTGATCAACACGTGATCAGAGCTCGATCCCGGCTTCCTTCCAGTACAGCCGTATAGCGTACGACACATGTCGTTCTGTGGCTTTGCGATGGTCATCAGCACAGACAGAGATGGAAATAATGGCTGATTGTTCTCCGCCGGTAGAACCAATGAAAGCAAAGACGCGCCTCGACCGGCAGACTCATAGGCGTCGGCAACGCATTGGAACGTGTTTCATTGAGCGATCGCATATTGTGTGTTTTTATAAGAATTGTTGTGTGATTGTTATTGTTGTGGTTTCTGTGGTTACTGTTTTGGTTATACTTAACCATGGAGAGTACAAATGGCACGAGTGGAAGTACTAAAAGCCAAGGAACAAGTAGACGGCTTCGTAAAGCACTGAGGAGGGACGCGAAAGAAATCGTGGCTCAACGTGTTCAATTATCTGAACAGAACTATGTCGCAGGGAGATGCACTCACGCGTTGTGAAAGTATGACAGGCGTTCCAGAGTGGACCATTCGCAGGGTGGTGCATGGAAAGAAGAAAACTGGAGCTACTACTGATCCAAAGTTTAATTTGAAGGGACGAAAGGCCGTTAAATTGGATGACGATAGCAAAATGGCGTTAAGGCGAACCGTACATTCATTCTTTTTTAGGAATGAGATACCAACCCTCAAGGCTGTACATGCAGAGATCAAGGAAAATGAAATTATACCCCAAATGAGCGTCGAGGGTAATGAGGAAATCCCTGCACGAAATTAATTTTCGTTACGAAACGCGTAATCGGAAGTCAGTATTGATAGAGAGACCTGAAATAGTCGCCTGGCGTCGAAAATACCTACGCGAAATGATTGAATATAGGCGAAAAAGCAGAAAAAATCTATTATTTGGACGAGACATGGGTAAATGCAGGTCACACAGTTAAAAAAACCTGGATAGACAAAAACGTAGTAAGTAACCGACAAGCAAGCATTGAAGGTTTGTCAACAGGTCTTCGTGGACCGTCAGGGAAAGGTCAAAGATTGATCGTAACTCATATTGGTAGCGATAGTGGCTTTTTAGAAGAGTGTGACTTGATTTTCGTCTATAAGAAAGGAGGTGATTACCATGACGAAATGAATGCCAGCTGCTTCGAGAGCTGGTTCAAGGGGTGCTTCAGCGAGTTGAGCCCAACTCTGTGATCGTCATGGATAATGCTTCCTACCATAGTCGTCGAGCCGAACGTGTACCGACTATGGGATCTCGAAAAAGTGACATGCAGCAATGGTTGCGCGAAAAAGGAATCCCGTTTGACGATTCATGTGTGAAAGCGGAATTATATGAAAAAATTAAACAGCACAAACCTGCGAACATTGCAACGTGACTGATGAGATGACCCGTCAATGTGGTGTCACTGTGCTGCGGTTACCGCCCTACCACTTTCAACTGAACCCAGTAGAGCTCATCTGGGCTCAAGTGAAGGGTTATATTGCGCGCTATAACACAATCTTCAAATTACCAGACGTTAAGGTTTTACTTGAGACTTCCATACAGCTAGTAACGCCCGAAGCTTGGCAGAATGCTATCCGTCATGTTTGTGAAGGAAGAAACAAAAATGTGGCAGCTTGACCACCACATCGACACCATCATAGAGCCAGTTATAGTCAATTTCAACGAGGAAAGCGATAGCGACAGTTTATTACTGTCAGATGTAAGTGAAGCGACGATGAATAAAGGTAATTCCCAAATTTTTTACTTACAATATGTTTCAAAACCACTCTTTATTAAGCATGTGACAAATCTAGTTCACCCATGTTAAACATTCATACCCCGCCTATGAACAGCCGACTACTGGTAGTTAAGTGATGTTCACGTGAACATCGATGAGTCATTACAGTTTTAGATAGTTATAATATAGTTAGGGGATATCTGATAATGCTCATTTATCGACCTCCTAATTAATTGTTCAATTGACTTACCTTAAGGAAAATTGAACCATATTATATGAGTATTGCCGTTCGAAGAATTACAAAGTAACCACTTGTAGTAGCAATTTTTCCCGCTCGCACCAGCACGAAGTTCAAAGCAAAATATGCTCCCCGCCCCTGCCCATACCCGGCATAGACCGGTATGTACGTGATGTTCCTCTACCTAGACTCGTCACTGCAATTTACGCAGCTAATCCCGTCGGAACAGTGGGAGGGATGAAAAACAATGGGTGGGTTTGTAATTCTTCGAACGGCAATACTCATATAATATGGTTCAATTTTCCTTAAGGTAAGTCAATTGAACAATTAATTATATTTCGTATTGCCGTTCTCGAATTACAAAGTAAACCACTTGTAGATGTTCAAAGAAGAGTCCGAATCGGGATCATGGCACCATATTTATTTCGTAAAGATCTAATAGAGGAATCTAAACAAAACAATTCAATAATACTATCTTCTAATACAAATTATTATATTATGAACAGTTCACTACTCTCTCTTCAAAAAGTAGTATAGAATTTGATCAACTCTATTAATCCATAAAAAAAATATATTAAACTGAGCTTAACTCAAGATACCTTTAGCAAAGGCCGTAACATCATTACAAAGAGGGCGATTATAAAACTTAGAAAAGATTTATGATTTTTGCGTCCAACCAGCCCTCTCTCTTATCATTTCAATAGAGACTCCAGCTCTATAGGCTGCAGATGTAGCTGCATGCCTAGTGCTATAACTAGAAAATATAGAGGTATCAATACCGCCTGCTTGAAGGGTCAGTTTGATCCATTTACTCAATCTCTGTGTAGAGGCTGGGCGAATAGGTCTCTTAACTGTTAAAATAAGAAAATCAGTATCAAGTGGGCGTATGCCTCTGGTTTCTATTTCATAGAAATCGATAGTTTGAGGCTAAACAAAGGCTAGGGTTTTCCCGAAAATATGGGATCACTAAAAGGGGTTGAAGATCCTTGGAAGATGAATTTTTGATTCTATCCGTAATGTTAATTTCTATTCTATCAGTATGGCGAACTATATTTTGTAATCGTATATAAGTGAACGTTTGTAATCGATGGCCAGTAATTAAAAGCTAACAAAGTAACTAACTTCATAGTCAATTGCATAACAGATATTTCTGTTAAGGGATACAAGGTAGATAAGTACTCTAAAACTGGTTGAGGATCCCAAGTTGATTGGTACTAAGGTCTTGACGGTCTCTGATTGAAAATTCCTTTAATAAACCGTTTTTAGAATAGTTTTATCTGAGCTATTTATCTCAAAATCAAAGCTAATGCCTCATACTGTGAGTTAAGTGTTGAGTAGGAGCAACTGTTTTGAAATTGATCACTCAAAAAATTAATGACTGCGTCTAATGAATACAAAAAAGGAATATAGCCTTTGCTTATGCAAAAATTGCCACCACTTTTTTAATTTCGATGAATACTGTCTCAAGGTAGATGGACTAAGCGATGCCTTGATTGCTTGGAGCCCGTTTTCTGGCACTCCTCGTCTGAGAAAAGCTTCCCCGATAAACTCCCAGCCTCCAGGGAAAGTGTTCTCCACAGTGGATGGCATCCCCTAGAAGGGGAAGAGAGAAGGGCTTTATTAGGCGAAAAGATTATAGATCTTCCTGTCAATAATTTATGGAAAACGGAATACCACGGTTGAGTTGTCCAATTAGGAACCACAAGAATTCCACAAGCTTGTTCAGCAATAATTTTTTGTAGGCATTTTGATATGAGTGAGAAAGGAGGAAACGCATAAAAAAAACTCTTTTCCCCAAGACACTGTAAATGCATCAACTGTAAAGGAACTAGGATCTGGTTTCCAAGAAATATACCTAGGAACTTTGGCATTTAACTGTGTCGCAAATAAATCCACAGTCGGTTTCCCGAAACAAGAACAAATTTCTCGAAAAGCCAAACTCGATAACTCATATTCTAGGTTGATAGATTTCGAGCGAGATAATCTATCTGCATAGAAATTATCTGTTGTATTTATATATGAAGCTACTATGAAAATTGTCTATTCTTACACCATTCCCAAATCTAGCGTGCGATGTTGTTGAGGTGCTTATATCTTACACTACCCATATGATTTATGCAAGCTATAGCCGTTACATTGTCGATTCTAAGAAGAATTGAACAAGAAGATATATTGGAGGCAAAGGATTTAAGTGCATTGAATGCGGATAGTAACTCCAAATAGTTAATGTGTCTGTTAGCATCGTCCACATTCCAAAAACCGTTAGTACCTCTATTCTGACAAAAGGCACCCCAACCAGTTAATGAAGCATCTGAGAAAATTTCAGTATGAAGTTCCTATCTGTAACAATAGCTACACCTTCATTATTTATAAGAGTGTGATGCCATCAATATATTTCTGATCGCATTATTTCTGAAATTACTACTGAGGTATTGAAATTTTGCTCGTGTCTTTTTAATGTTACATATTTAACTCGTTCTAAAATCTTAAGGTGCATCCAACCATATTATACAGACGGGCAAAGGGAAACTAGTTTTCCTATTAACTGAGCTAAAACTAAAACAGAGCACCGATTGCGGCGTAGAAAAGTCTCTACTAGTTCCATCATGTTTTTCACTTTTTCTGTTGGTAATTTACTAAGAATCCTAAATATTCTAAAATATCCTTAGCAATTTGACAGTCTTGCTCAGCTGTTTGTATTGACTTACTGATAATTAATAAGTCATCTAAATACAGTACACAAATTATACCTCTAGTAAACAATTAAAATGGTAATATACACCTTGAAATTTAAAAGAGAGGTATTTTCTGAATGTCTGATGCACCGGTATCATATAATAGGCATCTTTTAAATCTATTTTAGTGAAGAAACAGTCATTATAAACCAATTTGAAGACAGTCCTGAAATCTTCCAATTTAAAGTGGGGTGGTTCTAAAAATTCGTTTTAATTCCTTTAAATTTAGAATAAACCTGAATGCCCACAAGGTTTCGGTATTAAGAAAAATGAGGACAAAAACTGGCCAGGTTTTGAGGTAGTTTTGGATACTGCTCCTATGTTTATCAAAAGTCTTATGCTATCCTTTAATTTATCTGATTCCTGCAGCGTAAAAGCAGGTCTAGGTAAACGCCTTTGCTTAGGTTTCTTAACAAAAGGCATTTTATATCCAGATAACCACGAAATAATAGTAGAATCTTGTGTAATGTTTGCCCACTTATTTACATATGCAGATAAGCGACCCGCATACTTATCGCAAAGAGTATGTACCTTGTCTACTGCTTCCGGTATGACCTTGCTGAACGAAACCTCTCCTCCTCGTTTTCATGCGAGATTTGTGTTGCTGGCGCCGGGAGTTTAAAGACGACGGGACCCTCGACGGACCTGGCTTGGGCTCCAATTTCTTATAGACGACTGGTTTGGAAGATGCTGATCCTAGGGCTTTTTCCTTCTTCTTGATTGAAAAGCCTAATCGTTGAGCTTCACTTGCGGATTTCCATTGGTCCGGAAATGTTTTTCCAAATAAAAATTTATCAATTGGGCAAGTATCAGAAAATTTGCGAACGTTGCCATCCAAAAATGGTAGAATGGAATAACGACGATGAAGAGAAATCGCGTGAAAAACATCTGCGATTATTTTTAGTGGAGCACAGCATCTTTCCAAATCAGCTCGTGTTTCGTCTGTAGAATTCGATTTCGTTATTTCATATTGCTTATCGAAGCCGACGGCCAGTGCACTTATCCCAGATGTAATTGAAGTTTACAGAGGAATGTATCCGCTTTAACTGCATTTGAACTTAAACAAGATCGAACCTCTGGGTTAATCACTGGAGGCTGAAGGGCTGGACAGTTTGCCAAACAGGGATAAGATTCCAGAGTAGTTTTGCGAGATTCTTTATCAATTCCCTTGAGGAAAAACTCAGATATCAGGGCTGCTACGTCTGTACTGACCTCTGGTCCTTTTATAGCAGATGCTTGATTACCCAGGAATTGTAGTATATTTTGTACACCCTGATCCTGGGATGAGCCAGGCTCCGGGACTTGCGTTGGATGGTTTGATAAGGGCGCATCTGAATCCGAGTCCGTCCCTGTACTCTCCAACGACGAGACGTCTGACTCGCCTAAAAAACTTTTCACATGTTTATAAACACTATCCGGCAGCTTTGTTTTGAAAGAGTTACATACTATGTATTCCATACCAATATGCCAATAACATTGACAACAGTAATTCATGTGAATACTGTAAGTCAAGAAGTCGCCATTCGGTGCATAGCACATGTGTACATACGCATACCCGAGATGTATTTTGAAAACAATCAACTATTCATGCCAGTAATTCATGTGAATACTGTATATCAAGAAGTGTTTAATCGGTACATAGTACATGTGTACATGTATATCCGAGGGGCACATTGAAATTAATCAACCATTTTAATTAATACTAGTAATTCATGTGAATACTGAATATCAATAATAAACAGGAACCTGATAGGCACATAGCACATGTGTACTTATGTTTTCATTGAATGAATTGGGGCTAAAACAGAAGGGAACAATTAATTACAATATACTTACTTGAACTATCTAAAAGTTGCAGCAATTTGTGTAATTTTTTTTTCTGTGTTTACGCGTCACTTTCTTTGTTACGCGACCCATCTTTCTCTCCGTCCTGCTGCGAGCGCACGAAAAATTGCAGTGACGAGTCTTGGTAGAGGAGATCAGGTACCGGTCTATGCCGGGTATGGGCAGGGGCGGGGAGCATATTTTGCTTTGAACTTCGTACTGGTGCGAGCGGGAAAAATTGCTACTACAAGTGGTTACTTTGTAATTCGAGAACGGCACTACGAAATATAATTGCTCTATAAACGATAGCATTAGCATTTTGGATAAGCTCCTATTATTTTTCAGCCCTCAGCACGACAATATATCATAGTATCAGGTGATATGAATGTTGCTCTGCTCAACCCAGGTAACCCACTTAGTGCATGTTTTGATTGTTACAACCATTGCGCAGGTCATTGACGAGCCTACTAGGGTAACCCAAATGAGATCTTCTCTCATTGATCCAATTTTCGTCAATAACTCAGACACTGTTTCAAAAGCTGGTGTAGTTAATGCAGATATTATTTCTGACCATAAGTTGGTTTTTTGCGAATTCTGTGTTGTAATTAAGAAACCCCTACTGCGATTTATCACCTATAGAGATCTTAAAAACATTGACATAGTCAGCTTTAAGACTGATTTAACCCGAATGAATTTGGATAGAATTTTTTATGTCAAAGATACAGAACAAAAAGTATGTATTTTAACGGAATCACTCACTATTTTATTTGATGCCTATGCGCCTGTCAGAGTTGCTCGCGTCAACAAAAGAGCCGCACCCTGGTTAACAGCTACAGTAAAACTTATACTTAAACAGAGGGATACTGCCATAATAACTTTCCGACGTACTCCCAATCAAGAAAACTGGATTTACTACAAGGAACTAAGAAATTACGCTTTAGCGTCAATAAGGAGGGAAAAAAGGCTTACCTATCACACATTGATAACTTGAATACGCAGCAAGCTTGGAAAACCCTTGAAGATATGAGTATCTGTCGACGGAAGAAAACTGAAATTCCAGATGACCTACTCGAACCTGACTCTCTGAATGATTACTTTTTATTGAACTCACTTGCTGCTAATATGAACTCGAGGCTAATTGAGTCTACAATTCATAAATATGATAATAGCTCCTTCTGCACTAATGATCCTTCATTTACTTTTCGCTACGTTGACCAGCATGGAGTGCTGGATGTTTTAACTTCTATAAGTCAGAAACATCGGGTTGTGATGGACTTAGTCGTAAAATGGTAAATCTCTGCTTACCAGAAATTTTGAATCACATTACTCATATTATAAATGTTTCCTTAGAGACAGGGATTTTCCCAAGCTGCTGGAAGGAAGCTATCGTTTTGCCTTTGGCGAAGATAAACAGCCCCTCTGAGTATTCTCACCTACGGCTCATGAGCATGTTGTGCTTTTTGTCGAAGGTTTTAGAGAAAATTGTCTACATACAGCTGGCCCACTATTTTAAACAAAACAATATGATTCCTCAATATCAGTCTGGTTTCCGTACAGGGCATAGCACAACAATCGCTTTATTAAACATTACGGATGATATCATCAAAAATGTAGATGATCAGATAGGAACAGCTCTGATTCTGCTAGACTTCTCTAAGGCCTTTGATATGGTACATCATGGTATTCTCTTGAGTAAGCTCAAATTTTATGGTCTTTCTGACAAGCCACTACGTTTCTTCGATTCGTATTTGTGCAATCGTACCCAGAAGGTGAAAACACGTAAGGGATTTTCTTCGGCAAATAGTGTGGCATCTGGCGGACCTCAAGCCTCTGTGTTGGGACCATTACTCTATTTAGTTTATACTTTTGATCTACATACTTGCCTTCAGCACTATAATATTCAAACGTATGTAGATGACACGCAGCTAACTCTGTCTTTTGATTCTTCGGACATGCATGAAGCATCATATAAATTGAACTTAGATCTAGATAAAATTGAAGAGTACTGCAAAAGACATTGTCTGAAGATCAATGCTTCAAAATGTTCTACTATGCTACGTATATTTGGCCCAAAACAGTTAGTACAACGGTTAGATGGCACAATTGTTCCTAGTCTTAACGAAACCCATATTCCTATAGTAGACCATGCGAAGTACTTAGGGATCACCATGGATTCAGATTTGAGGTTTAAACCACATGTTATGCATTTATCTCGCTTAACATACAGGCGTTTGAAGTTATTATACACCAAACGCCATATTCTGAATTTCAAGACTCGCAAAAAACTGGCTGAGACTCTGGTTCTATCGTTAATAAATTATTCAATTGCTGTTTACTTTCCTTGTCTTGATTACGTGACTAGATATCGAGTACAAACAATTCAAAATAGCTGCTGTAGGTTCGTTGGTGGTCTGCGAAAGTTTAGCCATGTATCTAAGAAGATCAATGAGCTTAGATGGTTGAGGGTTGACCAGCTATTCACATATAACTTACTAATTTTAATACAACGAATAAAATCAATAGGCTACCTACTTATCTACTAAAAGGCTGGTACCACGTGGGGATCTCAATTACAGGAATCTGAGACATAACTCTTGACTTCCATATACCTAGTTATAGGAGCAACATTTTCCATCGTAGCTTCACCTACAACGCTGTCAAGGTGTACAATAGTATTTTTGACAATTACAAAAGATGGGAATACTTGCTTTCAAGAGAGCCATTAAGAACCACCTTCTGGGGTCTCCTAGCCAAGCAGGCTGATATATTTTTTTGTCTTTATTGTTTTTTTTGTTAGAGCGGGCTATGTGGAATAGATGTACAACATATTAAGATTAATCTATTTAAGCTTAATTATTGTATATATTATTTAGTCGATTGCTATTCATTGTTATGTTTTTCCTTTTGTATGTGCTCCTGAGCTGTGAGGTTAAGTGGTAGAGTAGCCAGCTGGCCTCGCAGTGTGGAGGGATTAATAAAGACATTATTATTATTATTATTATTATTATTATTATTATTATTATTATTATTATTATATTATTATTATTATTATTATTATATATTATTATTATTATTATATTATTATTTTTATTATTATTATTATTATTATTATTATATTTTATGATTATTATTATTAGTATTATTATTATATTATTATTATTATTATTATTATATTATTATTATTATTATTATTATTATATTATATATTATTATTATTATTATTATTATTATTATTATTATTATTATTATTATTAGTATTATTAGATATTATTATTATTATATTATTATTATTATTATATTATATTTATTATTATTATTATTTATTATTATTATTATTATATTATTATTATTATTATTATTATTATTATTATTATATTATTTTATTATTATTATTATATTATTATTATTATGTATTATTATTATATTATTATTAATTATTATTATTTATTATTATTATTATTATTATTATTATTATATTATTATATTATTATTATTCTTATTATTATTATTCTTATTATTATATTATATTATTATTATTATTTATTATTATTATTATTTATTATTATTATTATTATTATTATTATATTATTATTCCGTTTTCTGTTAGCTATTCTCTGCTACTGCAGGTGGTATCCTCAACGCGGCATTATACTGCAAGCGTCTGAGTGTGACTATTGGTTTCTCTTTGTCTATGTGGCTACATTCAGGACCCTTGCGTGCTATATGACAACTACCTAAGATAGCAGCTTTCTGAAGTGAGGAGGTATAGTTTCTGCGGCAGATTTAGTTCTCAATATATTATGTAGACTCTTAGGTATTTCTCCTGTGGCTCCGATCACTATTGGGATGACTTCAACTTTTTCTGATTCCACAGTTGTTTTACTTCTGCAGCTAGTGGTAAGTACTTGCGAACCTTTTCTGTCTGCCTTCTCAGCTATGTTATGTGGGGAAGGCACACTAATGTCAATTATGCAGGTAACTTGCTTCATTTTATCTTGAACTACGATATCTGGTTTGTTGTATTCCATGGTGTGATCTGTTTGAATTGTTCTATTCCAGTATATTTATGGCTGTTAGTTTCTATAACTGGAGTCGGCTGGTACTTGTAATATGCGGTGCGGTCAGTTAGTATGTTCGCAGCATAACAAATTTCTTGGTGAACTATTTTAGCCACGTTGTCGTGGCGCTTCAGATACTCAGTGGAAGCTATGGGAGTGCAGCTCGTCAGTATATGCTCTATTGTTTCCGACTTGTTATGGCATATACGACATCTATCTTCAATGCCTTCTTCTTTCATGATGTATTTTCTATAGTTTAAGGTTGGTATCACCTGATCTTGAATGCCAATCATGAAACCTTCAGTTTTCCGAAAATAGCTCCCCACTCTTCAGCCATCCATGTGACGCTTCTGCATCAATGTGATCTGAGCTGAGCATGGCTGGATGTCTTCCATGAAGCTGTTTGGACTTCCATTGATGATACCATTGTTCGTCGGTGGTCACATGGGTTAGAGGTTCATACTGTTCATCCGACAGGTTCAGTGGTGTGAACTTGTAGTCAGCTGAAGCTATATTTCTGTGATATGCAGATGTTTCGCCCTTTCTATAAAAGAATCTCCTGAGGTTTTCTATATTCCGCAGGTTAGCTGCTTTAAGGTCAATCACGCCTCGTCCCCCTTTGGATCTTGGCAAGTAGAATCTTTCGATCGAACTCTTGGGATGTCTTGCTCTATGATTTGTAAATAAGACTCTTATGTTTCTGTTTAGCTGCTCTAAGTCAGAGTCTGTCCACTTGATTATTCCGAAGCTATATGTTATTGTCGGAATAGCATATGTGTTAATGGCCCTTACTTTGTGTATTGCGGACAGATGAGTCTTAAGTATTGATTTGACCCTACTCGTTAATCTTTGCTTTAGAGCTTCTTTCATATCTTTGTGTTTGATACCCCTTGCTTGATCTAGTCCCAAATATGTATAGCTCTCTTTCTCAGACATGCTTCTTATTGTCTGACCCTGCTCCAACATAAACCCTGGGTGATCTTCCCATATGCCTTTTCTAATAGCCCCAATCTTACACTTGTCCAGGCCAAACTCCATTCTTGTGTCAGCACTGTATTTCTTTATGGTTTTAAGCAACCTGTCCAGTCCATCCTTAGTGGCAGATATTAGTTTGATGTCATCCATGTAGCTAGATGGCTTATTTGTAGGTTGTTCTGAAGCTTATAACCTTCGTTCGTTGTGTGGAGGGATTAAATAAAGACTTATTATTATTATTATTATTATGATTATTATTATTATTATTATTATTATTATTATTATTAGTATTTATTATTAGTATATTATTAGTATTATATGTATTATTATTAGTAGTATTATTATTATTATTATGATTATTATTATTATAATTATTATTATTAGTAGTATTATGATATTATTATTATTATTATATTATTATTATTATTATTATTATTATTATTATTATTATTCTTATTATTTTAGTATGAGGATTATTATTATTATTATTAGTAGTATTATTATTAGTATTATATTATAGTATATTATTATTATTATTATATTATTATTATTATTATATTATATTATTAGTATTATTATTATTATTATTATTATTATTATATTATTATTATTATTATTATTAGATTATTATTATTATATTATTATTATATTATTATTATTATTATTATTATTATTATATTATTATTATTATTATTATTATATTATTATATTATTATTATTATATTATTATTATTATTATTATTATTATTAGTATTATTTATTATTATTATTATTATTATTATTATTATTATTATTATATTATATTATTATTATATTATTATTATTATATTATTATTATATTATTATTATTATTATTATTATTATTATATATTATTATTATATTATTATTATTATATATTATATATTATTATTATTATTATAATTATTATATTATTATATTATTATTATTATTATTTGATTTTATTATTATTATATTATTATTATTATTTTATTATTATTATA